GGACGGCTAGCACAGATAGCCCTCGTGTAGGTTTGCGCAAAATCCATAACAAACAAACAAACACTTTTGGACCTAGAACTTGAAAACAATTTCGTTATTCATAAGTTTCAGTTGTGTCCCATTTTATGCTTATATATCTTACTGTCAACTTCATTGTTATCCATTCTGAAACTGTTCTTAATGGCAGGTAAAAATAAATACGATGTTTCATTACTGGTTTATCTAAAATAAAATCCGGACACAGAATTTTTAAAGAATCTTTGGATAATTTGTTTGCAGTTAAACACAAAGCTCCACAATGGGTCATCTGTGTTGTGCCCACTATGGGTATCGAAACCCAGTTTTTTTGCATTATAAGTCCATGCCAATGCGGGTCAAGAATCTTTGGCGGTAAACACTAACACTGATAATATGGTGGTATAGATTAAGACTGAATTTGTGATCAAGTGTAAAGGCAAATGTTTTTTGTTGTTGTTTTTTGCTACTGTAAGTAGCATTTGTAAGTGTCAGTTTTTAGGTTTTAATATACTTATAATATAATTCATTGATATTCGTTTGTTCGTTAAGTTCTAATACTTTTGGTTTAAATTTCGCACAAAGCTACACGAGTGCTATCTGCGCTAGCCATCCCTAATTTAGCAGTGAAAGACTAGAGGGAAGGCAGCTATTCATCACCCCCACCGCCAACTCTTGGGCTACTCATTTACCAACGAATAATGGGATTGACCATGACATTATAACGCCCCCACGGCTGAAGGAGCGAGCATGTTTGGTGGGACGGGGATTCGAACCCAGGGATCTCATATTGCGGGTCAAGCGCCTTACCCACCTGGCCACGCCGGTCTTGTTCTAATACGAGTCACTAGCCTTTTCTTTAGTTTATCTGAAACAATTAAAATCTAATACAGAATCAAAACGACGTCTCGACAACCACACTATTGACATCGTCAATCCTTTTTTTTTTCACTTTATATGCATGTTTTGTTTTTAATCGAATCTTATTTGAAATAAATTAAAATCAAAAAGACAGTACTGTTTCTGCATGCATCATGCCCCTCAATGGCACAGTGGTATGTCTGCGGACTTACAACTCTAGAAACCGATTTTCGATATCTGTGGTGGGCAGAGCACAGATAGCCCTTTGTGTAGCTTTGTGCTTAATAACAAACAACAACAACAGCATGCATCATATAAAATCTGTTTGTACAATAAGGGTATGTGAAGTTGTAATTCAGCATAGAAACATGTATCTCTGTTGAATGTTGGTTTACCAGCACCAAAAAAAAAAAAAATACTATATGTAGTCAATTTCTCTTTACAAGATAATCTTCAAAGTCAAATGCATTATTCCTTAGACAGCTAAATTTATAAGATTAAAAATAGGATATCTTCGAAGGGGAAAAAAATCAATGCTTTTGTAGTTAAAGATCTAAATTTTGAGACAAAAATCAAAGAAAAAGGGGTAGCTTTTCATATACTTACCCACCCACTGACTTGGGAAATATCGGTACCGCGCACACGAATTAGCAATAAATATTGCCTCGTGTTTACAAGTATTATATTGTTTGTTTGTTGAATTTCGTGCAAAGCTTCTCAAGGAAAATCTGCGATAGCCGATCCTAATTTTGAATGATAGTCAAGAGAGAAAGCAGCTGATCAAGATCACCCACCACCAACTCACGGGCTACTCTATACCAACGAATCGTGAGATTGACCGTTACATTATAACGTCTCCACGACTAATAGAGCGAGTGTGTTTAGCTGTAGGTTTCAATAACGCGACTCACAGATTGCGAGTCAAATATCCTAACTACCAGGTAATACCAGTCATTACAAGTATTAGGTTGAACGAAATGCACTTTTCTTATATACATTGGAGCACTTTGCGTGCGTATGTGTAGGTGTGTATCATTTGCAATGTGTTTTTTTTTGTGTGTGTGTTTGAATTAGTGATATCGAAACCCGATATTTAGCGTCGTATGCCTAAATACTTTATCGTTGAGCCACTGGGGCATTATTTGAATTATAACAAAGTATCATGCATAATAACATTATATATATATCCAATGTCTAACGAAATAATCACCCTTTGTCCAGGTTAAAATTAAACTGACATTGTCAACACACTACTGAAACAGTTTTTCCAGGTGTTTATGATGAACAAGTAATGAAAGTTACTATATAAAAACATGTTTTTGCTCATGACTTTGGCCTTACTATTTAACCCGTAATCCTACAAGGTCGTATTATCACGTGACTTAACAGGCTGTTTTCTTTGATACATAAGAATACGGACATGAGCTGCTTCTCATAAAGTGGGTCAAGGATACCAATTCCTCTACTTACTGAGCGCTTAAGAATAGTGCATATCAAAGTGTAACTTCTAACATTACTACATTTTCTCCTTGCCCCAACCAACATAGCCGAGAATGTTAAGAAGTGAATCTAAAATATAAGTTTTACAAAGGTCATTTATGCAAGTCCTTGAATATGTTTGTATTAATGGCAATAAAAGTAAATGAAAATGCAACAGAATACAAATTCATCTGTGAATATTGAGTACTAAAAGAATTGTTATTTGGGAAAATTTGCGGTATTCAGTTATACTCAATGGTTACAGTGGGGCATCAAAACTAAAAATAATCACACTTTGGTTATTCACGAAAATGTAGTGGCTTTAATAGTTTGTTTGTTTGTTATGAATTTCGCGCAAAACTACACGAGGGCTATCTGCGCTAGCCGCCCTAATTTAGCAGTGTAAGACTAGAGGGAAGGCAGCTAGTCATCACCACCCACTGCCTCCACGGCTGAAAGGGTGAGCTTGTTTAGTGTGACGGGGATTCGAACCCGCGATTCGCAGATTGCGAGTCGAGCGCCCTAACCATCTGGCAATATTGACTTTAATGTTTCTGCAATTTTTTCAACGCAGGTCATTATAATTATTCTCTTGAAACATCGGACAACAAAGGAAACACAAATACACAAGTGAACAAATAAAACTTTATTCATAAACAGTGTTGTTCGGCTTCTATTTAACAAAGTAATACTAGGGTTCGAGGACGGTAATCCATAAGTTTTAGTCAACGACTATTCTAAATGTCATATACAAAGGAGAAAAGTCCCAACTCATGCCAATTTGTACACTTACCGATATTTCTTGAGATAGGTGTTCACCACCCAAGACAGTAGATACAAGATCAAACTGGTACCAGTTTACATCAAAAAGCTGTTGCGATATGTAACTATTAACCAAACAAAAAGACTAGTAAGGTTTATGATCTTTCGCCATTCGTTTTAAAAGGATATCATAACTGCATGCAGAACATTTGCATGAATATTTAGAGAAAAATATCTGAATATACTTTATTAGATATATATTTTAAACTATTTATGGTAGGATGAAATTATGAGTTATTTCAACTTTAACGAATTATAAAGTTTACAGGTTTTATAAGATTTAAGCACTCTGATTTGTTAGATCATTTGGCTTTATCTTATGGTCATTAAAAATATAGACAGTTTTCTAAAGTGTAAAGAAGAACACGTATCTAACGGACATATAGGACAATATATAAATAGACTAAAACACAAGTTATGTATAAATCTTCTCTTTACTCATAAATAATGATATGGGCATTGGAAAATTTTCACTTTTGTGCAATACTAGTATTACAAATAAGTTTAAATATGATTAGTTTCGAATTAAAGCTGAACCGTTTCAAACTCAACAGCTTGATGCACTGGTATAAATATTTTCTTGGAAATAGAATATCATGCACATCCTGCAAATGGTTAAAAGAGTTAAACATCATAATGTTCTTCTTTGTCAAAATGTATTTTTGATACTCTTTTCTTGGTTGTTGTCCGCTCAATTAATGTAAGCTTGTGATTATTAATGAAAAGTAACAAGTAGAAAAGTAGCATTTATTTATCTTGCCTAGCTGATATCAACTAACACTTTCACTACTGCATAGATGGCGCTTTACAGTCAGTCTCGTGATCTTTCCCGCCATGGTCTTAGCATATCAACAAAGAGGGAAGCGGAAGTAAACATGATGCAACCGTATCGTGACTTTGGTATATTTATTCTGAGTTTCCATAGCATTACGTTATAGTCTTATGACTTGTTTATTGGCGCAGGAGTACTAGTAATAATACTCAGTGGTGGGCAAGAATTCAATGAAGAGATTCTTGAAGTTAGTCTTGATACTGATAGAATAAGTTGAAAATTTTGCATTGCAACGAAGTTTGTGAAACAAGATGGTTCTAGGTGTAAATTCCGTTAGCTCCAATGCGGAAAACGATGATGATTCACAGGTACATTTTTGAAAAATTAAAAGCAAAGCCTTCATTAACCATGGCATTTACTTTAAGTTGCAACAAAATAAAATGCGTTTTGCTAAATCTTTAACTATATAAGTAACGATTCATGTTTACTAAGCTTTGGCAGAAAATTAACAAAAGACTAAATATATTGAAAGTGTTCAAATTCAAAATCCTTAACTTAAACTGTTGAAGTTGAACTTTGAAGGACCAAGTACTGGCATATGGCATGTTAAATTAATTTTGATATGTATATCCAATATTAATGATTTTTTAAGAATTGCTGTATTGGAGTTTCAGTAGTGACTTCGATTGGGTAATCGGACGAAGTTAATGTTGCTGAACAGTGCTAGTTACCTGACCGTTAGTCACTCGTTTAAACTTTAAATACTTGTGAAGTTAATCATAATGATAATGGTATCACAAGTGGTTTCTGTTATTATGAGCAAAATATATTTTTAAGAATATATCATGAAATGTACTTAGAAGCTAGAAACTGTAACTCACTCACTGTAAATGTAATGGTGAATTTGTTCCCTTTTTAGTATGGTTTTATTTATACGGATAGAAATATGAATTTTTAATAACATGCTTCAGTCACTATAACTATAAAGTTTTGTATAACGTTTGGTACTGTTTTATTTCATTAACCATGTTTTTGTTTTGTTTCAGATATTTCTTTATGTTAGTGTGAAGTCTCCAATAACCCACCAAACATGGGAGGATGGGCAGTACACAACTTATGCTGTAAACATCCAGGTGAGAGTTAAATGTACTTCTTCAAAAATAATGTAATTATAATTATGAAAAAAAAATGTTTTACACTGAATTTTAATCTATGCAGTTTTATAGAAAAAAATTATGAAATGTATAACTGGAGTAAAAATAATGCAGTGCATTTTAAAAATATAATTAATACCAAATTAATTTAATTTAAAGTAAGAGAAAAGTATTTTTAAGATTATAACTTTTATGCATGCATTAAAAAGGCAAAATTGTTAAATTTTCAGTTCACTTAAGAAAATTTTCATGATTATCATTGTTAATGAAAATACTATTATTTTTAAATTTGAATTCTTTCTGTGAAAATGACTCATGGGAGGAAACAAGATGCTTCATTATACAGTTGTATGTTTTCAGGTTGTGAAGTTCAGTGTTACTTGGATGATGTAATGATTATTATAGTATCAGTTACTTGTTTACTGCATAATTTGATATGTAACTCCTAGTAAAAAGCTTGTACTCAAGTGAGTGAACTATGTTTGCTTTCATGTCAGCACTTAACTGAGTTTTTCTTTATAACTTGTGGTATATTAAATCTGTATCTGAAGGTCATCACATGATACAGGGCAAAGTCCTGGTGAATCAGTGACAAGAGAGGGAAAGTTAAGAATGTATCCGTAAACATGTGACCTGGTATTTACAGGTTTATTTATTATATACATACAGCTTTTATCATGCCTAATTTGTAGTCTTCAGATGTTAGCTTTTGGCATCACTTTTTAACAGATTTTTTGCCTTTGTAATGTATTATTTTTATCCAATAAAAAACAAGTGATGACCTTAAAACATGTTTTAGAACTGAAATCATTGAAAATTTTATCTTTAGTGAATCATGTTCTGCATCTCTCATTCACCCTATCAGTTATAGTGTTAATAAGTTGCTATTAAAAGGCTTAAATTAGAAAACATTGTAACTATCACTATTACATCAACCTTTAGCTCATTTTACTTGTATCTAAAAAGATAATAAGGATATATCACCTTTAGTTATGACACTATACCGTTTTGGTCTTTGGCAATAAAACATTTTCTTTCTTTCAGGTAGGAAATATCAAATATATTAAGTGGGCTAGTTAATACCTCATTTTCAATTTATAAAACTAGAACTAATAACAAATTCTTAAGATGATGTAATTATACAAAAGTAAAAAGTACTTTTCAATACTAAACTTTAATGACATCAACAACATCTAATGACCACTAACATTAAATTCAGTAAAACTTGGTGACAAGTAATAAGCAGGCTGTATAATACATCATTAAGCAAGCATATCTAAAGGATGATCCACTACATCACTAAACCTTTCGATTTAAAGGATAAGTTTCTACAAAGGAAATTTTATTGCATGTATTTGTGGTTAATGGAGATTATTATATTACTTAATCAGCTTGTGCAGTAGTATGAATTAAGAGAATTTGTATATTTGTAAAAAAAAAGTAAATGGTTAAAATTTCAATTTATTTTTTTAATATTTTCTTTCTTATATTAAAAACTTTTTTTTTTTTGTAGACAAATAATGTTATATTTTCCTCCCCCGTGTCATCTGTACGGCGTCGCTATTCTGAATTTGCCTGGTTAAGAAAAATGTTGAAAATTCACCACCCAAGTGTGTAAGTAGCTAAAACCTAACTTGTAAATTCCACAAATGTGTTTCTTTTATAACATGTAATGAATATTTTTGAATCATAATTTAAGCTACAAACTGAATATGGTATGCAAGAAATGTTATTCAATAGGTTTAATTACTTCAAAGATTAACTGTTATTTGGAACTGTATTTAAGTAATATTTCCTGATCTTTTAAATCAAAAAAATGTTTTAAATACTCTAATTAAATTTAGGAAGACAGCCATTTATAATTTTGTAAGAATTTCATTGGCTAT